CCCAGCTGTGGCTAAGCCAAGGCCCAGGAGACACCTGGGAGCCTCTTAATTCTTTTTACAAGAATTACTAGACCTGATGTGATCAGGTACTGCTGGATTAAGGCGAGCTCTTAGGTTCGTTTTCTTAGGGATCGAAGGGATGATTCTCCCAAGGCTCTGGCCGTGCCTCACCTTGTAGTCTACGCCCCAAGGTGACTAGAAGACTCAGAGGGAAAGGTGCCTCCTGGGACTTAGATGGACTGCCCTGAGGTCTGGAAGGGCCAGACCAAGGACACCTGTCCTCCAGAAAGAAGCTTCCAAGAAACTCAAGTGTCCCTGGAAAGGAGCTAAATAAACAGGAATCTTGCTGTTGGTGCTTTCTGTTCTCATGAGAACTTCTCTTAGCAGAAATTCATCTGAAATTCCAGGTCTTTCCTGCATCAAACAAAGTGTTTGATGTATTGTTCCAATACACTCTCTCTTCCTAGGAGACAAAAGCCAGGAGTTGAGTTCCAGGGTGAAAAGCAGGATACATGCACAGGGGAGGTGAGATTCACAGAGCCCTGCAGCCAGCACAATGCTTAGCAATCCTGGAACTCCAGCTACCCAGATAAGCATCCCTGGATACTGAGCTTCCCCTCTGCCTTAAAGGCCAATGCTCAGAACATCTTTACCCCTGTGGGGACACTGGAATGTAAGAGTAACTGAAGTGGGACACACCAGATTTGAGGCACCCACCCATAGCCTCTAATCCCACCCCCACCCCATCATTTTCCACTTTGTCCCTAACTGGGTCTCCCTAGAACCAGCCTCCTCTTCACACCCCACAGCAAGACAGAGGTGCAGGGCTCTCCCAGTGAAAGTCTCCAGGCTCCAAGTGATGGGACCCAGTGTCTCCCCCCAGACCTTCCCTGCAAGATGTCCACCAGCAGGACCCAGGTCCCTGTGCTCAGTTCTTCCCTGAGGCCGTGGGAATGGTGGCATCCTCATATATGATCACTTGGGTCAAGTACCACCCAAGCCCATAAATAAGCCAGTAGAGGTACCAAGTAAAGCTAAGAGCATTGTCTGCCATCCCCCTAGGGTTGCCGGGCCTGAGATGAGAAGCAGGAAACCTACTCACAGACTTACATGTTATAAGTTAGCACTAGTAATCTTTGATAGGTTCTGGCCCTAGTATGAATTGCTGAATTATTATGGTGGTCATCCAATATGGCTGAAGCCCTTAAAACAACACCTTATCTTCCCAGAGACCACATCCCCACTTCTTCTCCAACTCAGCCCAGTCGGAGATTTCCTTTCACCTTTCCCCCACCTCAGGGAAGGCCCCAGTCAGCTCCTCAGGTCTATCTAAACATCCCCCTCAATCCCCACCCCTGGCCAAAGGCCATAAAAGCCTCAGCCTCGCTTTGTTCCATCCAGAGAATTCCTTATCTCCCCAAATTCTCTCTGTGTCCTCCAGGATAATGAGGCCCCTTTCCCTTTATAATACATGCACATATATGGGGGAAAAATACGTGTATATCCCTTTATAATAAAGCCCTTTTATTATTTATTATATTTTATTTCGCTGCGACACCATCGAAAACCTGTCAATCTTTATCTCACATGCACGTAGTGTCAGATTAAACAAGGTAAGTGTGCTTGCATGAGGTTCCTACTGAAACTCTGATAAATTATCACAAATATAGTGACCTAAAACAAGGCATCTGTGTGGCTATATTATTTCTTTTCTTTTTTTTTTTAACCTGTTCAGCCCACCCTGAGGGTGGTGCTGGCGTGGCATGTGGTGCCAGGGATCAAAGTACTGTGGCTGCCTAAACATGTGGCTGCCTAAACACGCCAAGCATGTGCCTTAGACCGTTGAGCTATCTCTCCAGCCCAAACTATATTATTTCTTGAGGTTCCAGGGGACAGTCCGTTTCCTTGCCTTTGCCAGCCTCTGGCAGCCACCTGCTCTCTTAGGTAATGGCCCATTTCCCCACTTTTTTTTTTTTTTTTTTTTTTGTACTGGGAATCAAACTCAAGACCTTGCACTTCCTAGGCAAGAACTTGTACCACTCAACCACTGAACTATATCCTCAGTCCACTTTCCCCATTTTTGAAGCTGGCCATGTGGCCTCTTGAAGTCCCTCTCTATCATCCTAACACCTCTCGCTCTTCTTGCTTCTCTGTCTCTCTGTCTCTCTGTCTCTCTCTCTCTCTGTCTCTCTCTCTCTCTCTCTCTCTCTCTCTCTGTCTGTCTGTCTCTCTCTCTCTCTCTGTCTGTCTCTCTGTCTCTTTGTCTCTCTGTCTCTCTCTCATAAGGACCTTGTGATTTACCTAGGACTCACTTGGAAAAGCCACAAGAGTCTCCCAAATTCATGATCCTAATGTAACCTGTGAAGTGTCTTTTACCACAGAACGCATTCACAGATTCTGCAAATGAATGTAGGGACATCTTTAAAGGAAACCTGCTCCATCCACCACCTGTCTCAGGTGGTCATCTTCTCTCACTAAAAACTTTGCACAGACACCTGGATTTGGGTCATCCAATCTGTGGTGTCACTTGTCCACAGCTCCACCAGCTCCTGAGTGGAAGGCCAGAAAGAGGGAGCGTCACATTCCAGCACGCCTGCCGACCTTCTCCCTTGTGATAATGTTCAGCTGATAGAAATGAAAGAACTAGGAATTCACAGCTCAGCCCCTTTCATTAATTTGTGGTCGTCAACCTCACAAACAGTATGTTAGGGCCCCTGGTTCCCAGGCACTGCAGCAGGGAGGACACAGATGAGAAGGGACTGCTGATTATACAGCTCTTCTCTGTCTTACCAAAGAAAGACATAAGTAGAAAGTATTTCAAGGGCTGGTGAGATGGCTCAGTGGTCTAAAGCACCTACTAGGAACAAGCTTGGCAAAGCACAGGGACC